GGAATCATCAGCCTGACAGCCGCTCAAGGCTGCGTTATCCCTTAACACTCTCAACTAAATCTCACGGGTGCAAAAATGTTCTTGGAGATTTTCTACAGTTTTCAATTTTGCTAAGTTGAAAACGTGGAAGTTGTTTTTGGAGAATTGATCTTGACAAATGAGCTTATGGCAAGCTTGGAATAAAGCGCTGCAGAAAATACACTCTAAACGAAACTCGAACAAACTGATGCCATTCGCTGGCCTCGTCTTGGGTCTATCTGCCGCCCTCCTGCAATATTTGCCTGATTTTGACGTCAAGCTTCATTGGTAGGCAAAAATTAGCAACTCTTCTTTCGTAAAAACAAGAGATTCAGGAGCAGCAATCTACCCTTTGGCATTATGAAAATCTGCTGTACAGTTGCAGAGGGTACAAATTCATCTCAAGGCCTAGCATCTTGAAGAGAAACTGCGTAAATTGTTTTAAGAGTAAAAACACAGCGCAAACCTCATCTAGTTGACGGCGAGTCTGCATGATTTTGTCGTCACAACCGATTCTTGAAACGGGATAGCTGAAATTCTCCATCGTCTCACAAATGAACCGTTTTTCGCACTTGTTTATCAAGATTTTGATATTGGCATGATCTTCTCTTATCCTGTTTGTATGGCTTGTAGAGTTCATGGCTCATTCAATGGTTCACTTACTAACTCTTCGACTTCTGCGTGGTCGCGCTTTCGCAGATGTCCACCACTGACATCACGGGGTTCAGCTCGGCCCCGTCAACTCCTCGTCCCCATTCCACAACAGCGTCATCAGAGGTTCATGGCGGTCAAATGTTCTTTGAGTTTGATGCACCCGAGGCCTTCATCTCACCACAGTTGTTCGCCGTGAATCCAAGTGGCAATGTAAGTGTCTTGTGTGGACAACAGATCTTGATATTGCTTCGTTCTTCGAAATAGATGATCTACTCGGTGAAGATTGACATGAAACTGGCGCTGGATCCAGATACGCAGGAGGTTGTAATCATAGTCGGCAGTCGACTACTTTGTCGTTGTTCTATACATACTGGAAAGGTGCGTAAACTCTTCAGTTCAAAAGACACAATAAATATTGTACTTTTGTTTTTCTTCCTTAGAGATTGGCCAGCAAAACTCTAAACAACGACGATACTACCGTGTACTTAATTGCTAGTCAACTATGAATTGACTTTGATTAGTGACAGACACACATTAAGGCATATTCGAAACAAGGTGGATGTAGTATGCAGCTTCTCTCTCGATTCTAGCTAAAATTCAAGGCCGTACTTCACAGTGTCTTTCTTCTGTCTTGTCTTTTGAGCAAGGATGACCTGTGTGGACAGCCATCACCCTACCTTAAGACAAGCACAGGTTTTTTGCAGAAATATTTCCTTTTGGAATTAGGAAGTTGGATGCGGTGTAAACTCGTGCAATCGTTTCCCGAAAGCTCGACGCAGGGATGTCGAAGTGTGATTAGGGGGCACGAGGTTGTCAAAA